GTTGAGTTATTTTATTCTTATTACAATCTATCTATTATATATATATATATATATACAGTAAAACCTCTCTATATGGGCACCTCTATAACAAGGGCACCTCGCTTATATGGGCACTCGGCGGAACGACCGATCGATCTTTGCTGGAAGTGAGCCTCTCTAACAAGGGCACCTCCCACCTCCGAGAGTGAGCACTATTTTTTAGGCCATACTGTATAGTTAAACCTCTCTTACATGGGCACATATAGTGAATATTTTTATTAGTACATTGTTCTTTTTCTTCTCGTCGCTCTTTGTTGTTCTGAGAATAGGAGAGAGAAAAGTTAGTCCGACGTAACAAAGAAAATAATTCATCTATACATTTCGAATTGTGCCGTGAATGGTAAAAAGAGTATAAATAGTCGTGTTATTTGACATTACTCTTTAAAATCATTGAGAAATGACGTCGTATCATTATCTTACGCTTGCCGAGAAAAAATTATTCGAAAGCTGCATCTACTCGTCAACCAGAACTTTTCCAACTCGCCACTAATTTGGAATCGAAGCTGACTGATGCTTACATTGATTCAAAAACTAACAAGCAAAGTTCAATTATGGATTTTTTTTCGAAAAGCTTGATCGTGAATACGAAAATAAAAAATAGAAAATCAACTTAGTTCAAGGAAAGACATCAGATGATTAGAGTAAAATATTGGACATCGTCAAAGGTCTAAAGATAGATTGGTAATATATAAATACGGGTGCTCTTTATGACGTAGCTTGCGGAAAACATATTTGTGATCCATATCTAAAAAACTCTATAACGCGGGCACCTCCTTTAGGTGGGCGATTTGAAAAAGTCCCGTAGGTGCCCATCTAAGAGAGGTTTTACTGGAATTGTTTAGTTCGAAATTAATACTTGTTGCAAATTCACTCAATGATTATTTTAACCGATTGAAAGATAGACAACGATTATTTCATATACAAAAGTGAATAATACCAAGTTCGAAAACTTGTTTCTCCTATTTCAACTAGTTTAAATCGTTTACAAAAAACACAAGTAATTAGATTACCTGAATTAAACGATATTGAATAGTAGTGTTTTTTTAATGTGTTAAATAGTGGTAGTTGTTTTGTCTTTAAATAAATGTCTTCAACGAGAAAACTCATTTTTTAATTGAATTTTAGAGTGCGAGAAATTTTTTATTTTACAGGCAGATTCTGCGCGCCTGATATACTCACTTTAACCTTTTTTTCCTTCACGTGTAGTGTTTTTTTTCTTGAATGTGTACTTGTATTAAAAGATTTTTTTTTCTTTCCTTCCAACTATCGTTTTTTTTTGTTAGACGAGGATCGTTATTAAAGGCAAGGAAAGCTGAAGAAAAATCAACAGATGTGATGCAGTGCATCGTTCGGTAAAGTATAGTTTCCTTTGCTTTTGATTACTCACATACACGTGCAAGAATGTTCTATAAATAAGGATTTATTATGTTTCATTATAGAATTATTATTTTATCTATGGTTACTCTCGTTTTTCACTGTTAAGCATGTATTAAATTATAAAAAATAGAAAACTTTAATTCTGTATAAATTTTACTATACAATATTTACCTTCTCGTAGCGACTAATACCAATTAGATATTCAATCTATTGATTAGTTTTTCGTTATAAATCTTCAGAATTTTCTTACTAAAAGATGATTACATTTAAAATTTTGTAGTGACATATAATAAAATCTATTTCTTATTTTTCTATGTATTTCAGATATGATTCGTTTGTGTACAACACCACTTTGGGTATGTATGTTATCATCAGCCGACTCTTCTTATTTAACATATTCTCTTTAGGATAAACATATAACTAATTCACCGTATCCATATTTAACTGAATGTTTTCGAAATACGGTCCTACAATGGATACCTATAGGTATCTTTTGGTTGGTTTTACCATTATGGCTTTATATGTTAATCAGACAACGAATAAAATCACAGACAATTTCAATTTCTGCTCTATTCATCACTAAAATGGTAAATACATAGAAATATTTAGGTTATTGATAAAACTATTAAGTTTGTAAAAGTCTTAATTATTATATGAGAGCAGGACTTGAATGATTTTATTAGTGACATACATAGTTTTTCTAATTATGATTATTATTATTATTATAGATTCTCACCATTCTATTTCTTCTTATTCAAATCCTTCGCATTATTCACTATGCAGTATTGTCAACAGAACAAAATGATCAAGCTATTTTGCTTACTTCAATTCTGTATATAATCACATCAATAACTATTCTTTGGTTAATGAATTATGATCGATTGAAAAGTGTATATTCATCGGGTTTACTCTTTGTTTTTTGGTTAGTAGTATCTCTTGTCATTGTGCCAAATGTCATTGTCTATTCTGTTAATTTTCAACAACAAGTTAGTCATCTTTATAAAAAATTTCTTATCAATAATAATCTATTATCTAGATCAAATCAACGAAATTATGGACAGAAGCTGCTTGTATTTGGCTTCATTTTATCGTTGCATTAGGATCATTTATTGCTAATTGCTTCGCTGAAAAATATATTCCTATTGAAACAATATCTGACGAAAGGGTATGATTAGATTTTTCTTTTTCATTCGAAAAATATTTATGAAATAATATTATAGCCCATTGTTCCTGAAGTGTATGTTAGTTTTCCATCACGAATCTTTTGTACATGGGTAACATCATTAATTCTTCGAGGTTATAAAAAGCCACTGACAGAAAATGATTGTTGGCAATTACCAATATCTGAACGAACTGTTACTGTTGCCCATCAAGTACAAAATTGTATGAAAGGGTAAGGTTTCTTCCATCGTTATCATTTTCTATCTATGTGAATATAGGATAAATACTCGAACAACAAATATTTCATATGAAAATATATCTATTGCAAATCCAACTGAAGATGGGAATCGAAATTCAGTAAGTAGTTTCTTTTCAAGTACAATTTTAATCATATTTTCATTTAGCTTAATGATTTGGTAAGTGATTATATCTGTTCGTTTGTTTTTTATATTTCTCAATCGATTTAAAGCCATTGATCGATATAAAGAAGCCATTATCAAAATATCAGAAGAAAACTATTTTTTGGCATGCTCTCTTTGGTGCATTTATTGATAAGATTATCGCTGGTGGTCTTATAAAATTTGTTCATGATCTATTTCAATTGACAGGTCCTTTGATTTTAAAGTAAATGTCTTAAAAACTTTTATACAATTATGGATTAATGTACTTTAGACTTTTTCTAAATTATTTTACTGATCCAACGAAACCAAAATGGTTAGGTATTTTTTATGCTATATTATTAAGTACAATTGTTTTTTGTCAAGTAATATTCTTACGAGCTTATTTTCATTGTCAATTTCTTGTTGGACTTCGATTTCGTTCAGCAATTATTGGACTTGTATATCGCAAGGTTAAGAATTCTTATTAATTATTTTCATTTATGTCTTTTTTTTTGTTCTTCTAGAGTTTAAAATTATCAAATTCATCCAAGCATGAAACAACTACTGGCGAAATGATTAATCTAGTTTGTATATAAACTTTATAATTATATATTTCTTTATTCTACTTTTGAATAATAGATGGCAATTGATGCTTCACATTTTGGTGAAATCACTACACAACTTCATATGTTATGGTCAGGTGGGTAGCATTCACATCTATTATCTATTTCAAAATAAAGTGGACTCGGTTGTTTGTTTAATAATTCTGCAACATTGATAGCTATCAAATCGCGGTTTTCACTGTTAGACAAAGAGTGGTTGGGAATACCTGTATAGCTGAGAGTCAATGAGCTTTGAAAGTTTTATAGAAATTGTATAAGTGTTTTTTTCATAAAACTCTGACTGGCTCTTTTGATTACATACATTCTTAATTTCAATTTAGCCAAATTGTAGCCGAGCATCTGCTCTATAAACGCTAAAAGTTTCAGACTTTCCTCCTGTGTCTCTGAAATACAAGAAAAACTCTCCTGAAATCGAATAATGCTAAATTTTCAAAATTTTTTGCCTCAAACCTCTCATCCATAGAGGTAATAGAATCTATTGATTATTGTAACATTATTCTCGACTTTGTATGTATGTTCGATGAAGCTTTGTGCTAAGTCTTCATCAACAGCAGCAATAAAATCGACTACACTATCTTCAACCTCGGAAAGACGAAAATTAACATTTCTGTTGCGCACGTGTGACTTGAGTTGGGTCCATAGAAGTTCTGTGGGATTGAGTGTACAATACTTTACCGAAAGTTGCAAGATTTCAACATCGGGATGTGGATATGAGTAAAGAGGAAACCAATACCCACACCCACACCCCCAATATAGCATCATTCGATTTCAGGAGATTTTTTCTTATATCTTAGAGACACATGAGAGAAGTCTGAAACTTTCAGCGTTTAAATTAAGATTAACAATGTATGTAATCAAAAGAGCCAGTCAGAGTTTTATGAAAAAACACTTGCACAACTTCTATAAAACTTTCAAAGCTCATTGTCTCTCAGCTATATAGGTATCCCCAACCACCCTCTTCCTAATGGTGAAAACCGCGATTTGATAGCTATCAATGTTGCAGAGTAATTAAACAAACAACCGAGTCCACTTTATTTTGAAATGATAATAGTTCAAAAACAATATCTATTGGCTGTTTTCTTATGAATAAAAACTTGGAAGAGTCCTCTATCACAGAGAAAAAAAAACAGTCATATTGATTAAAGCAGAGCGAAAATAATCAAATTTTTTTATCGTTCACAACTTTTGAGACACCCTGTATTATTAATATCAGCCTTTTTCATTGATGAAATGTGCAAAAAAAAATGATATCAATTATATAGGTCAAAACTTAGCGAACATCCTCTATAAAAGCATTAATCTGAATTGTTTTGCAGGTCCATTCCAGATTACTATTATACTTGTTTTACTCTATCAACAAATGCAATTAGCAATAATACCCGGTGTAGCATTATTACTTTTAATGATTCCGATTAATTTATTTCTACAAAGAATTCAGAAAAAACTTACGGTATGTATGTATGTATAACTAGAATTGATTTAATTTTCTTAATTATTATCGGAATAGTCTAAACAATTGACAGTTAAAGATGAACGAATTAAAATGATGAATGAAATCCTCAATGGAATTAGAGTTTTAAAATTATATGCATGGGAAATGGCATTTATTCGTTCAATTACTCGTATTCGAGAAAAAGAACTCGGATATATACGTCAAAAAGCTATTATTGGTGCTATTTCAAGTATTCTTTGGACATTTACACCAATTTTAGTAAGTATAACAAAGAAGACTCTTGATTCTCATATGGTCATATATATGTATTTGTTAAGGTTGGCATAACTATATTTGCCACATATGTTCTTTTATCGGATTCGAATATTTTAACTGCTGACAAAGCATTTGTATCATTAGCATTATTCAATCTACTTCGCGGTCCACTTGTTTCATTTCCAAATATGATTAACAGCATTGTCGACGTGAGTTAAAGAATTTCTCTTGTAGTAGGATTTACTCTGTTTAGGCATGTGTATCAAGCAACCGAATTGGAAAATTTTTAAACAATGATGAAATTGATAAATATGCTGTTGATAGAGTACCTATTGAATTATTACATGGAAATTCTGTTAATATTGAAAATGGATCTTTTCGTTGGTCAAATCTTTTTGATGATCCTTTAATTTTAAAAAAGTTCGTCGTAAATAAATATTTTTTTTTATACATGATGATCGAGTTTATTTATAGTATAAATCTACAAATTTCTCAAGGTTCACTTGTTGCACTTGTTGGTATGGTAGGATCTGGTAAAAGTAGTATATTAGCAACACTTCTTGGAGAAATGATTAAAGTTAATGGACGTGTTAGTATAAGTGGAAAGATTGCTTATGTTCCACAGACAGCATGGATTATGAATACAACATTAAAAGAAAATATTCTTTTTGGAAGAGATTTTGATGAGAAATTATATGATCAAGTCATTGAAGCATGTGCTTTAGAACAAGATCTTGGTAAAAAAAAAAATTTTCAAGAAAAGTTTTTAAAAAAATATTAAAATTATTTACATAGTTATGCTTCCATCAAAAGATCAAACAGAAATTGGTGAAAAGGTATAATATACTAAAATAATTTGAATTATTAATAAAGAGACTCACCGTCACAAAGTCAATTTTTCGAAGGAAAATAGAAATCAAATTTTTATTATAGGAAGATGCACTAGAATCTTATCTTCTAGAATGTATATCACTTTTTTGCAAAACCAACAGATTCTGATGGACTTATTGGAACGAACTTGGACCATATTCTCATGTTTTTCAAAGACTGCTTTTGCTCTAGCATCGATTAAGGCGTTTTTTTTAAAAATACTAATCATCAAGAGCCTGTTAACAGTTAAGATAAAGATCACATACAGGATGATCCAAAAGTCTTGGTACCTCTCAGAAAAATTGTTTGTTCT